TTTCCGCTACCCCAAGGGCCTCAGGGCCGCTAGCTTCGCCACTTGAGTGTTTTTCCCTGCTACAACCCTCAATGCCACGGCCACAGGTAAGTACCAGCCCTGCGGGCCTACCAAACAAGCAAGTACCCTTGCGGGTCACACACACACTCATACCGACAAGCACTCAGACAGGCATGCAGGTCACAAGCACGCACACACAGACAGACTTAGAAGACAGCTGAATGCGGGAATCTCAGCAAGGCATCCATTCCATCGGCAGAACTTCAGAAATCAGCAGTGTTCCCAGTCTGTGTTTTGACGGGTCATTACACTACTCCCCCCTCAAGAGCGAGGTCCCTTCGAGCGAGTAACTCAATCAGAGTCCTTGCACAATGCATCATAGGCGTAGATAGCAAAGAGAGATCGGGTGTGTTCCGTAGGAGTCAGGGTAGCAGTGAATTTTGGTTGCTGTTTAGAACTGATCAATCGTTCATAGGCATGAACGACGCGCGGTGCACTCTGCAGTAAATCCTTCTTACCAATCCAATAGAAATCATTCAGCGGATGGTAGAGAAAATGGACTTTGTATTGTTTGTTTCTTCCCTTCCCACTGTGCTCGACAATTCTATCAACCTCGTGACCGCCATTGATTGCGCGGGGAATCATCGATTCTCGGTACTTGAAAGTCTCACGTGGCTCATACGGAAATAACTTTGATGCGTGGAAGACTGGGTATGTGCGGAGATGAGCAGGCACATCAATCGTGTAAGAAGGACCGAAGGAATCATTACCTACTCGATTCAGCACCTTCCAAGGACCGTAATACTGAGGAAGAAGTTTCCGTGATACACCTTCTTCTTCAGAAAACTCAGACATCTTGACCCAGACATAACTTCCCACGGTGAAGGGATCAGTCTGGCGCTTCTTGTTTGCATGCTTAATCATAGCACTGCGTCGCCTCTCCATAGCTGCGACAACGATTTTAAGCAAACGATCGTACTTAGCACTATAGCCTGGCTGGCCAGGTGTTAGGCCAGGTGGCTGTTCCGAGAACAGATAGGATAGGGGATTGCGAATTTTCTATCCGAGGTGCACCTTGTTAGGTGTCATCCCGGTGGAAGAGTGGATGGAGTTGTTGTACAACCCCTGCACACTCGGCAACTCCTCATCCCAAGAGTTCTGGTCAAGCACGATAAGAGCCCTGAGAAGTTGGATCGGGGTCTGGTTGATCTCCTCGGCTAGTCCACTGGTTTCGGGGTGTCGACCAGACGTCATCTTCAGTTTCATGTCGTAGGTCTGGGAGGTGAAGTCTTTCCAATCTGCACTTATGAACCTGGTATCCCGATCACTCACAAGAGTCTTCGGGGGACCGCACTGCAGAATGTACCTTTTGTTAAATTCTTCGATCACAAGGTCAGTTGGGGCGTGAGGTGGTAATGGGATTAGATTCATAAACCTGGAAAAACGATCGACGATCACCATTACTTGTGAATAAGCGTTTCTGCTCTTCTTCCCCATGTCCGTGAAGTCAATGGAAACAGACTCACCCGGGCCATCAGGGATAGGAAGAGGGTGCAGCAGCCCATAGGGCTTCTGTCGAGACGGTTTGATGCGCTGACAGACTTCACATTCAGCCACAAACCTTTGCGTCATTCTTTTCATTCCAGGCCACACAAACTTTTCCAACAGATTTCCGTATGTCTTCTCAACGCCGAAGTGTCCACTCCGGCCATGAGCCAAGTCCAAAAAGTGAGTGAGGATCGGCTCATGGTTGGGTACACACAATCGGTCATGCTTCCCGTATCGCCGGAAGAGAAGGCCCTTGCATTCATGGAAATCAGGCTGACTGCTAGGGTCAGCCCGAATCTGCTCAAGGATGGGACTGAGTTCCGGGTCCTTGGCAGTATGCTCAATGAGTTCCTCCTTCAGATCTTTACGCAGATCGTAGGAACCCACAAGGCAAGTCATATATTTGGGGTGGCGAGACAAAGCATCCGCAACACAGTTATAGCAGCCTTTCTTGTGTTAGAGTTCAAAATCATACACATCAATCTCATGCAGCCATCGGGTCAATGTGGTCGATGGGTTAACCTGTGTCTGAATCCATTTCAAAGTCTCATGGTCTGAGAACACTTTGAAATGGCGACCCAAGAGGTAGTGTTTCCAGTGGTCTAGTGCCTCTCTCAAGGCACAGAGCTCTCTCATGTAGGTGGAAGCGGCTACCTTATGACTGGGCATGCGTTTGCTGTAATATTCAAGCGGACGTAAGCCATCACCATCGTCTTGCTGCAGCACCGCACCAATCCCATACAAACTCGCATCCGTAGTTACCACAAATGTAAGCTTGGGATTTGCAGTGCGGAGCACCGGATGACTCACCAAAGCCTCTTTCAATGCTTCAAAGGCTGTCGTGCATTCTTCATTCCATGTTTAGGACACATTCTTGCTGGTTAGTCTAGACAGCGGACGGGCGATGATAGAGAACTTAGGCACAAACTTACGGTAATATGACGCAAGACCAAGAAAATAACGCAGCTCGCGAACATTCGCAGGTTGGGGCCATTTTTGGATGACCTCAACTTTGGTTGCCTCGGGCTCTAGGCCTGCAGCAGACAACCGATGTCCAAGGTAGATGACGCTGTCCCTCCCAAACTCAGATTTCTCCAAGTTGAGATGGAGTTGTGCGTCCTTGAGGATCTGCATCACTTCCTCAAGGTGTCTCATGTGCTCTTCCATCGATTTGCTGAAGATTAGTATGTCATCCAGATATACAATAACAAATCGATTGATCTGATTGCGTAATACCTTATCCATGAGACTTTGAAAGGTGGCTGGTGCATTCATGAGACCAAAGGGCATGACTGTGAACTCGTACAGCCCATCGCGAGTTTTGAATGCAGTTTTGTGCTGGTTTGCAGGTTCGACTTCAATCTGGAGGTAGCCAGACTTGAGATCGATCTTGCTGAAGACTTTGCACCCACCTGCAGCGTCGAGAAGATCATGGATACGTGGTAAAGGGTACTCATTCTTTCTTGTGATTCTATTCAATCCGCGGTAGTCAATACACATCCGCAGTTTGCCTCCCTTCTTAGGGACAAACAGCACCGGTGCACCGAATTCAGACTCACTGGGCTTGATCCATCCCTTCCCAATCATCTCATCAATCTGTCGTCGCAACTCCTCCATTTCGCCTGAGCCCATTCGATAGACACAACCTTTTGGAAGGGTACTTCCTTCAATCAACTCGATCTTGTGTCTGACCGGTCGCACGGGAACTCCATGCGGTTCGGCCAGGACCTCAGGGAATCGGTTGAGAAGGCTGCGAATTTCCGGTGGGATTTCCGGAGGGGGATCATCACTCTCAGGAGCAAGCATATAAGTTTGCATAGGTGCAGCCAAGACAACAGATTTTGCAGCAGAGTCATTTGGACTAGAGATGGATTTAGTAGAGGTAGAAGTAGTTGCCTCCGAGGTGGAAACAACATGCAAAGTAGAATCATTATGTACAGCAAAAATAGAAGGCACATGAGCAGGTCTAACAAAGGCTATATACATTTGCTCATCGGTTTTGCGCCTGCGCCACTTTTTGCAGAATTGCATTGCATTGAGAAAGGTTACTTGGGACTTGCGCGGCTCATCCAAGAGGACTGGTCGCTCGATTCCCATGGCATCTTTGACCATGAATTGTGAGTCCTTCCACGTGGTTCTTTCACATTGGGCCTGCAACCAGCCCAATCCAATAACCGCGTCGAAGGGGCACTGATCAAGGACATAGAAGTTCAATTTATGCGTGATTGTGCGGTGAGCATCAAAGGTAGTGCGCACACCTTTGACTGCATGCGTAGATGTGACAACCTCTTGGTTGCCTACTTGGGTCCGACAAGGACTCTGCAAAGTCACTTGCTTCATCCCCAAGCTTGCCTTACGTATGTCGTGCGGTGAGAAGTAGTTGGCGGTTGCGCCACAATCAGCCAACGCACGGATGTAACGGCCATTAATGTAGAGTTTGAAGAAAATCAGCTTCGTTCTCCTTTGTGCGCGTTCTTGCTTCATATGAGCCCAGCGCGTCAACAGAGCATGGAAGTCAATCTCTTCCGACTCTACCCAAAGCTCGTTGTATAGGATGTGGATCTTCTCAGCCTTGGAATCAGCATCAGATGGGGTTTCGGGAGAGGTTTGCTGATTGGGATCAGAATCCAAAGAAGGATCTGTACTTACATGTTCCACCTCTCCATCTGTAGAGTGTGCTGATGATACCTCTACCCCCGTTGCTGGTTTCCCTGCTGCAATCTGAAACATTGTTGGACTGAATGTCCCGGTTTGGTGCAATGCAGGCAAACTCCTCTCTTCACCCTGTTCTTCCACTCACTTTCACTAATCCGGAGATCTACCCATGGTTTTGTGGTAGGATCTTCCGGTTTGGGTGGAATCTTTGCTCCCTTGGGAAGAAGGATAGTGTTAGTGTTGTTCTTCATCGTGGTCCTCGGTCCCTTACTTTTTAAGGCAGTCTTTTTAAAGGCATTCACAGATTCTTCGTCATTTACGTACTCAGACTCATGGGCTGACAAAGAGCAAGAAGCCCCGCAGTCTTGCTCTTGATCGTCATCAAGAGAAGATTCATCCACGAGGGTCTCCTCGTCAGCCTCAAGCAGATCATGTGCTGCAAAACGGTTGCTGCCTGGAAACCGTTTGCGGCTGGTGGCCTTTTTGCCACTTGATCCACGCGGGAGGTCTTGTGCCTCCAGCTTGACTAAGTCCCGCATGAGGGTAAGCCAATTTGTATATCCGCTGAGCCCGAGCCCTAGGCGATCTTTTAGAGTAGAGGGGACCGTACCTTTTATCACATCCAGACAGGACTGCGCAGTCATCTCCAAATCCGGACTAGCAAAGAGCTTACTAACATACTGCTGCAGGCTGTGCATGGTGCCGGTCCACTTGCTGTGCTTGAGCTTGTCAAGCTTGAGTCTTGCTTTAGCTGCAGCATGTGGATCAACATATTGTTTGATCAAGAGATCCTCAAGTGCGGTAGTAGGCGTAGCCTTCAGCCATTTGTTCAGGTATATTCTCTTGTAGCCTGATTGGACAGCTTGGGTTTCCAGAAAACCCCTCACGACGGGCTCCACATTGGTCTCCAGGATAGACGACTGAGTGGACGGGGGTGTCCCCAACACATCAAAGTAGGATCGCATGGAGCTGATCCAAGACTCGACGTCGTCCTTTCCGTCACACTTGGACGGAATCTGCGCCGCCTTCCTGTCGATGTAAGCAAAGCTGCCGCCTGGCCCAGCCATTGCTGGGTCCGGACTCGGGACTGCAACAGTTCCAGAAGTCCCTGCACCACCACTTGCCGCTGCAGCAGCAGCAGCAGCAGCAACAGGGTCTGGACTTGCTGCAGATCCGCTTTGGCTGTTAACCACACTCAAAGAAGAAGAGGAAGTAGAAGGAGAAGTAGACATAGTCAGAGGGGCAAAACTGGACTGACACGCAGCATTAGAAGCAGGGTAGGTGAGTGGAGAGACGATTTGAGCCTGTTGCGAACTAGCAAACTGTTGCAGCTGATCGCGGTGCTGCTGCGCCATCTTGGCCATGTCTTCGAGCAACTCCTTGAGCTGCTTAAACACCTGTGCTAGTTGGCCAGTATGGTCCTCAGCAACCCGGACCCCTGCTAAGGCTCTGAGGAGGGGGACCGTTTTCTCTTCTACCTCCTCATCAGTCAGAGCGGACACGGTGCTAAGGACGGCCTCGTGAGCCTGCASCTTATCCCTTCTCTCTCTCTCTTTCTCTTCCTCCTCCCTCTTCAAGGCTTTCTCGTAGAAGAACTGATACCGCGGTTTTTCTGCCTCAAGGGCAGCGTCCATTTGCAGTTTCCAATCTGCTGCAGATGCCATGATGGAGGATGACGGTGTCAGTAAGACTCTCAAGAGGGGTCCGTACTTCCTCTCAGCTTTGTGACGAACACTCCTCTTCCCTCTCCTCACTCCCTCAAGAGCAACACTCAGTAGCTTCTCTCTTCTCTCTCTCTCTCTCGTTTGCAACCGTGTAGACGCAGGCATCAATGAACCCAATGAAAGAAACAGCTTGAAATCATTCAGAAGAGAAGGTAGAACTCCTAGCCGGAGCGGCAATTCATTTGGACTGGACAGCAGTCATAAAAACAAAAAGAAGATCAGAGAGATCTGATCCAGCCACACAGTCTGGACTGACTACGTATGGGGTCCTCCCAAGCCTACCCAGCCTCAACTCCGTGAAAACACAGCAAACCAGATTCAAGATGTACAATGAAATGCAAGAGAGAATTGAGTGGTGTATAAGGTGCGAGTCAGGCGGCGGACTGTGCGGTAAAGTCTGATAAAACGTCCTAGCGGAGATCCCCTCTGCAGTGAGTGTTCTGGTCCGAAAGCATAAAGTCCGTATTCCAATCAGATAGAGCAAGATAACTGACGTCAACAGATTTGGCCTGAGGGGCCCTTCTTGTTTGGGCCCGGTCCCACTGAGTCCCAAACGGTCCCAGTGGAGTCAGAACCGGGTCCCAACCAACAAGAGTTCCACAGAGACCTACTCTGTCCCTACTGAATTGAAAAACGAAATTTTGCCCCAGAAAGAACCTGTAGACTACCGCCGTTCAGAATTAAATAAACAAAGCACTGTAGAGAGATATTGCATGGCAAACAAGATACTCCATTCATTCACTCATCAGGTGAGTAGGCAGTTCACACACCTCACACACAATCAAGACTATGGAGGATGGAAGAAGAGCCCATAGAACCCCAACAGGCAGTCAATTCCATGCACACACACATGGGCACCCTGGTGGCACGACACTTACCTGAGTGGCCGGGCTCTTGAGATGAAAAGAACTCACCCCCCTCTCACATAGTCCTCCTGAACCAATTAGCATCCTCTACACTAGTGTCCTATCATCTAGGAGGGTCAACATATACCCCAAAGTACAAAGTCGGATCCCCCGTCAATGTTGAAGATCAAAGCAGCAACTTGCAATCCGTAGGTGCAGATATGGCTGCCACCCTCAAGCTCGCCTACTTGAGGGGAGCCCTAAAGTCACTCCTCGTCTTCCTTGAAGTCCAGATTCAAGTTGTAGGTGCCCTTCACTGTCGCCTCTCTCTAATTGCATCACGAAGTCCCACCTTGTGTCTCGCCACCATAAACATGCACTCAAACAACCTGGCCGGGTCTAGTGTCGACCCTACACGGCCCTGCCAGGTGGGAGCAGCTTCCCTTTACCACGCTGCCCCACTTAACCCTAACTTCCAGCCCTAACCCTAAGCAGTAGCCCTTACCACTAAGGTTAGGGTTATGGCAGCAAAGTCAACTCTCGCCAACAAGTAGAATCCGCTCCGATACCAATGTTACGATCCTGGCCAATTTCGAAGTCCACAATCATCAGAAAGTACAATGTTGTCCAATTGCGAAAAGAAATGAATGAACTTGAGCCCAATGCCGTCCAATTGTAAAAGAAATGACAGAACTTGAGAGGAGAGAGAGGGAAAGAAGAAGAAGAAGAATTAAGAAAGAGGAAAGAGATGATGTACTCCAGCATAGACCAAAGACAAAGCTCTTCTTCTTCGCTCAACAACCTCCTCCTCTTTATCTCCTCCTCTCTTATTCAAACAATGAATAAACAATAATAATGTTGAACAGCTGAACCAGAATCAATGTCCGAATCCCACTTCTACTGTAGGCACAAGATGASGTCCACCATAGCCATGGCAGTCCTTCTTCTTCCTCCATATACAGGCCGAGGCTATGGCGGACTACTGASGCTTCAGCCTCCGGTACAAGAGACAACACAAAGCGGCTATACCGCTGCCCCACTTCAATGTCATCACCCAGCAGCTATGCCGCTGCCCACCCAGCCGCCATGCCTGACTCTGTCTGAGCTTCCTTGATGCGGCACTACCCCCACTGGGGCCTTCCTGATGCAGCGCCTAGCAAGGAGATGAAGATGGTGTCTACCATAGCCAGTAAGTACCTCGCCACTCTCCTCCTTGGTCCCCTTCTCCTTCCTCCTCCTACCGGTAGAGCTCCACCATAGCCAAGGTGGAAGCTCCCGGCTTCTTCCTCCCAGCAGCGCTGTAGTGCCCAGCGCTACTCCAGCCAGCGCTCCAGCAGCGTGACGCCCAACTCGCACACTGAAGAATGAGGCTGGGCTCTTCGCCCTGTCTCTTGATATAGCGGTCTACTTGCCTCCTGGGCGGTGATTTCCAGGCTGCTCAGCCTCTCCAAGCAACCGGTACCTCCTCCGTTTCGGAGGGAAACATCATTGCAGACCCTGATATTACCGGTACAGGCTCTAGACTCAGACTGGTTGGACTGGTACCGGCCTCGACCTACCCTACCGCTATTGGACTCTAAAAATGCCAACTTTGTCTTTTTCTGCTCGGCCTCTAGTACCCCCTCACGCCAACTGCAGTGGGGTGCAGTATCGGCCTACCGGCCTACTTGAGTGTTTTTCCGCTACCCCAAGGGCCTCAGGGCCGCTAGCTTCGCCACTTGAGTGTTTTTCCCTGCTACAACCCTCAATGCCACGGCCACAGGTAAGTACCNTTTCCGCTACCCCAAGGGCCTCAGGGCCGCTAGCTTCGCCACTTGAGTGTTTTTCCCTGCTACAACCCTCAATGCCACGGCCACAGGTAAGTACCGGCCCTGCGGGCCTACCAAACAAGCAAGTACCCTTGAGGGTCGCACACACACTCATACCGACAAGCACTCAGACAGGCATGCAGGTCACAAGCACGCACACACAGACAGACTTAGAAGACACAGCAGAATGCGGGAATCTCAGCAAGGCATCCATTCCATCGGCAGAACTTCAGAAATCAGCAGTGTTCTCAGTCTGTGTTTTGACGGGTCATTACAATAATAATAATAACAGTAATAATATAATAATAATAATAATAATAATAATAATATTATTATTATTATTATTATTATTATTATTATTATAATGATGATGATGAATGACTGAACCAAAATCAATGTCCGAATCTTTCTTTTACTGCCAGCACAACAAGAGGTCCACCATAGCCATGTCCCTTGAGGAAGGATGTACCACCTCTCACCCCTGCCTAAGTTACCCTCTGCTAATTTTTCCCACCAATCCGTCTGGTCCTAGTTCTACCCCTCTCAGTTGTGAAACTGTCAGGTAGGTGTGTTATTCGAAAACGTTCTGGGGCCCCTATAATCTTCTTTGAGGTCTCACCCTCTAAATTCCTATTTGTTTTATTTCCGTGTAAACCCTAAACCCTAGACCCTAAACCCTGATCCTTAAACCCTCGGTTGTCAGACTATCTTGTTTCACCCATTTCCTAGAACGAACAAGGAAAACCTGTGCTATTCCTGAGCCATAAACCCTGAACCTTCTCTGAGGGGCAATCCCTGTGAACTAACAATTCTTATCCTGTCCTCCTTCGTGGTTCCCTTAACGCGATGTTCATTCTTTTAGCCCTATTGTCCTAGGCCTTGATGAAACCTTGCTTCCTGACCTGTTATTTTTGGGTAGCTGTGGGTTGAGACTAGCTCTGTTCGAGACTGTCTAATAGGCTTTCTTTCCTGATAGCTGGGAGTGGAGAATGTATGTGGATGCAAGGGGGTGGGGGCGAAGGTATTTTGTTGGGATTTGTCGTTATGGTATTGGATCAAGGTGGGAGGGTGGGCTTTAGTTGGGGGTGAGGGTTTTAGTGGACGTTTCAGGCAATTTGGGATTGGAGATGGGGAGAGTTTTCCGGGGGATTGGAGGGCGGCAGATGTGGATGTCTCTGTGTTGGGAAGGGTTTTAGTGTGGGTCCGAATGTGGAATTATGGTGGGCGGTTGCTTTCTAATAGGTGTCCCTATTTTTAGTGGTTGCTTTCTAATAGGTGTCCCTATTTTTAGTGGTTATTCGGTTGTCTGGGTGTCCCCGGGGATGAGGGGGTGGTTGATTTGTTAGGGGGAGGTTCTATGTTGGGGGGCGCCTTGGTGTGGACCCTAACATGTTGTCTTGATCTTGTTGTGGGCTTGGCTGGAGATTTGCCCTTCGGACTCAGATCCGCTGATCTGCTACTTGATTGGGGAGTGTGTTGGAGTTGTCTGGCGAAGGGGTTGGTGTTGTCCTTAGGGAGGTTATCGGCACGTGATCACCTTGAGCTGGTGTGACTAGCAAAACCTTAAGAACTAATCTATCTCTCTCAATTGAGCCTAGTTTACTGTTGCCTAGCCTTGTGGTCGTGAATTTCCTGATGATTTCCGTTCTTTTATCTGGTATTTCCTGAAACTGTTTTTTTGTTTTGTTCCATAAAGCCTGTATTTCTGTTTTGATGATTTGTCTGATGGTGATCAGGGGGTTCTCGGGTTCGATGCTGGTGTCGTTGAAGTTTGCTGCACATCTCCTTTTTCAGATTGCCCATAGTGTGCCCTTCTTGATTAGCAAAAAGAGGAAGAGTTCAAATCCTGGGGGGGGGGGGGGGTGTTCTTTGTCTAGGAAAAGGGTAGCAGGGTTGATTACTATCTTGCTGTTGGAAAGTTTGCTCCAAGTTGTTTCTCTGTCTTGCCACAGTCGTTTGGCTTTTACGCAGTCAATAAAGCAGTGGTTGAGGGATTCGCCGGTTTGTGAATTGCATACCCGGGGCATACTTCCCTACATAGATTGCTGCTTTTTCCTCATTTTATCTCATCTCACTCATTCATGGTATGTCACTGTGCAATTTGCTGCATATTTGGTTATCCCATTTAAATCCAGGACAGAAACGGTTGTTTTTTTTCAGATCCCCTGATTCATCCAGCCAGAAATGCTTCTACCCGATTTCCAGCAGGTGCAGCTCCTCACCATAGATGGAGTCTTAAATGCAGGGGACCACTTAGTGAGGCTGCTCCTACCACCTCACTAAAGGGACACCTCACCTCGAAGTCAAGAAAGAAGAAGAAGAAGAAGAAGAAGAAGAAGAAGAAGAAGAAAAAGAAGAAGAAGAAGAAGAAGAAGAAGAAGAAGAAGAAGCGTTTCTTTTCTTTTTTTCACCAACCTCCAAAGGAAACGAGCATATACATCCTTCTCTGGCATGCATGGGTACTCAGGTTGTGGTCTTTCTCTTGGCATGCATTCCCTGGTGAAGAAGAAAACTCAATGTGATAGTTAGCTTTT